ACTATGACAGACACCAAATAAATCCGTGTCGCAGTGTCACACTACTTGACATGCATTGTAAAATTTCCTCACAATTCTGCATTTTGCAGTTTAACTGCAAATATCTCGGAAACAAAGGCTTGTTGAGAGCTGACATCGACTAAGGATACCTTTTTTGTGCAAAATTAATAGGCGATTAGACCCAACTAGTTTGGAAGTCAGCATACCGGGTGACCAAAAAGTTAAAACCATTTTTTTGCCCAGATATCGCCGCAAGTGTTGATAAGAGTTGATCAAAATCTGAGGGCACATTTGGATTTCTTATGCTCAAAAACCCCTGCATATCAAATTTTGTTAAAATATGTAGCTCCGGTCAAAGTAGAATGACGAAAAACTGAAATTAAAATGTAAATTTGCCGCCCTGTATGTCGGCAACCGTCAACTTTTGAACTAACGTAAGTTGTGTTAAATCATCATGTTTTCACCCCAGCAATCCGCTATTTTGTTTTATGCCATTACTTTTGGGACACCTTGTATACAGGAGACGCCGTTTAAATATAAGTGTTTTTTCCTAATTATCTTTACATTGCGATTACGAACCACCGTAAAAAATACAACTCTGGCATGTAATCCAAGACTGGATCTCTACTAATAACAAAGTTACCAATAGTGCGCACTTAAGTTCGTACAGCGTGTATATTAATATGCATTTCAGATTGATATTTTGACTTATCTTAAGTCATATCATCGAATAGCAGACCCTGAAGGACACCCAAGTGATATTGGTCCCGTCCCGTTAGTTCAATACAACAGATCCTACGATTCGATTATGACTCACAGTCAACTAAAGGCAGGAGCCTACAGTCTTAAAAGCGATTTAAAATCATATGCTCCATTATCCTACTTGCCAGAGCCAGACAGTGATCAAGATGAAGGTATCTATTATATTTTAACGTTCTACTTATAAAGCAAAAAAGTGTTTGTAGAAAAGCATCAAAGACTGTGATACATTTTTTTCTTGTTTTGAATTTATAAATAATAGTTTTCATCTTGAAAGGAGTAATTTTCCAAAACTCTTTCACAATTGAAAGCTGACACTTGTGCAAAACGTTTGTGATTAAAAAGCATTCTATCAACTTCTTTCAAAACGGAAAAACGTACACAAAAGGACGAGTAAAAAATGAAGATCAGAAAATCCTTAAATTGAACAATAAATGCAAAAATGTGTTCGGTCAAAAATGGTTTAAACCATGTTGCCCTCTGTCTACCCTATGTATAAGTTGATGAGGGAAATACTTGGCCACTCTAGAGGACTCAATATGTTATTTCAATACACGTTTAAAATACGTTTATAACCAAGGTAACATTATTAATAATATTGCAGGGGCTTCAAATTACACGATTTGTGGACCTGATTATCCGATAAAGAAACCGCAAAACAACAAATGGATGGACGACATTCAGGATACATCTCGTACAGACGTAACATTATAAAAGAACTAATTTGAATATATTATTCCTAACGATATGTTTATCTGTAATTCTTTATCGAATAATTCAAAATTTACGTCATTCTATTAGAGGTGTCGTCTGAGGGTGTTTTCGGAGTACAGAAAAAATGGTAAAAAATTAGTTGAGATTAAGAACTGAGAAATTGGAAAAAACTATATCAGAAGGACGGCAACAATTTTTTTCAAGATAATCTGCCTAATTAAAATTACGTAGATGCCTGCATCTTTTTAATAATTAAAAACTCCGATGACCGTGGCAAAATACAGAGTGACAATAAAATATATAAGGAGAAACGGTAAATGCACATGGATTCGTTAAATATAGGGATCTACTTTTTGATATGTCAATACTGTCAACGATAAATTGTTCTTTATTGTCGTCATAACCCCGAATTTATATGTATGCAAATAAACATAAATTTCAGTCTTTAACTCCAAACAAGTGAGTGCCTAAGTCATCACCTTATTATGCACTCTTCTCGAGCAGCTTCTCTTATTTGACTAATTAACTCATGCTCATGCTCATGTTCAGTAAACGATTGGTTTAATATGTCCTTGTGTTCTGTTAGGTCTTGTTAGCTTAGTGTCTTGGTAGGAATGTAGCATTCCTTCGGTATTTATTTGGGGCCTGGAACAGTGTTAGTTGTTGATAACACCCGAGTAAGAGCTACATCCCTACCAAGTATGTAGGATACACAGGACACTAGAACACATTAAATCTCTGATCTTCCGAACACCGGTAAAAACTGAGCAGGAGTTAATTAACCGAATACAAGAAGCTGCTCATCAATGAGGTGAGATATATTATTTGTTTTAAACTGTTAAGTATTAAGGCGGTAATAAGTGTGGAATATTATATAATTAATAAAATGGAAAATGTCAATTTATAATCAGACAGTGATTCATGACATAATCATTTCAGACTCGTCGCGTTTGTAAAATTAATTTGTTACCTTACATTATTTCATGACCCTTTGCAAAAACTTGACAAAAATGTAACACGTTAAAATAAATTAATAGTAAAAGTATAAATAATTTTGATGGAATGGAAAATATTGAAAGAAAGCTTTTCTATTTTGATATTTTTAATTTTTTTTATTGTTCAATTATTTAATATACATTTTGTATTGGCGTTTCGGGGAAAGGCGAATTACGTCCCTGCTCGGGTGCAATTGTGTCCCAGAAGCTCTCTTTGTGTTGTTAGGGTTTATTTCCGGTAAATTAACATGTTCGAATTTGAACGGGTTTTTGGCGGTCTCCTCGGTCGGCAGCCATCAAGGATTTATGTGGTGATAGTTCCACAGCTATGGTAGCTTTTATACAGTGGAGAACGAAAACAACTCAGAGGTCAATACGCAGTCAGCAGAATTAAACGCAGTCAAACGCCAAATGGTTTATTCATAAAATAAAACATAATTTATTCCGCCGTGGTACTACGGCAGGCAGTTTACGTTTAACGAAATGCAATCAGGTGGTTTCTCGCCTTAATGAAGAGTTTAACATTTAATGAACTAAACGAAGATTTCCGGCTTTAATAAATACGAAATTTAAGTTACCAGAACAGGGGAGAAGAGTAGCACAATGGGGCGGTCGATACATATTAAGTGAGTGACCGACACCGACGAGTGCCGTGAATGCGTGTTTGATCCGAAATCATGAACTGACGTGACTGGAGAATTTATACTCGAAATAAATTGGACATCAGCAAAACTCAGAGATCAGGAAAAACGGGGAGCTTTCGTATTCATTCCCCACATTTTCTCTGCCTCCAGTTATTTAATCTCGGTCTAGCTGATGGCGTCGACTGATTGTATATGACTGGTTGAGTAATTAATACTATAGGACGACTGGAGTAGCTAGCTGGACAGCTTAAGACGGTTACTGGCAGTTAAATTCAGAAAAAATTGGTTCTTTAGGGTGGCCATTCCATTTTGCGCTCTGGAAATAGGAATGTCGAACGGACATCAAACACTACATTAACTGGCTTACATGACTGAAAGATTAAGATCTTAATGTCAGCAGGAAAACAAGTCGAACGATGAAAAACGTGCTTAAATTCGAAAACAGTAGCGGTCTGTAGACCGACAGCTATTCTGACCACATTCCGGGCAAAATAGCCAGAAGTGCGAGGCCAGAATGACCGCCTATGGTCGACAACAGGGACTTGATGGTTCGCTGGAAATTCTTCAGAATTACCACCATCGGTCAGAAACACGGTGAATACAGGGTGATTCAAAATTGACGTCATTCCTCTGGAGGTGTTGTCTGGGGGTGGCTTGGGAGTACAGAAAAAATAGTAAAAAAAAATATATGTTACTAAAAACTCAGATATTTGCAAAAAACTAGATCAGAAGGATGGCAACAATGGTTTTCAAGGTACTCTGCCTATTTGACATTACGTAAATACCTGTTCCTGCGTAATTGTTATAAACTCCGGTAACCATGGATAAACATGAAGCAAAAAAAAATAAAAGGGGCAATAACACGCGTTGAGGTTAAGGAAGGTTTCTTGGATGAGAGCGATGTCTACATCGTTTTCTTTTAGGTATGCCTCAAATTATCATTTTTTGGAGAACAAAGATGTGGCATTCCAGGAGGCGATATGGACACCTTGATTTTATGCTATCCCTTAGCACAGCATTTTGAGGACTGGATTTTGGGAAATTAGGGCCGCAAGTGTGTTAACTTTGGCCTCAATTTCCTGATTGGAGAGGAGTAGGAGTTGGACGAGCTGGTGGTTTAGGTTTGTAGGCTGTAGATTTGTGGTTTTGCTGGGTTTGAGTTTGTTTGGGCGTGTTGTTGGTTTGTGTGTTTGTTTGTTGGGGTTGTTTTGTGGGTTGAGCTTTGGTGGTTGAGGCTTTTTGGGCATGCAAAATGCCTGATTCAACTTTGTTGTTGAACAGTCAGTTTTCGTTTTGCCTCTGTTTGTTGGGAGAAATTTGGATTTTTGGGTCAGGGATAGCTGGCTGGGTGAGGGCCGCCGCACTTGCAGCATTTGGCTGGGAAGTCTCTGGACTTCATGCACTCCTTATAAAAGTGCGGCTCCGCACATTTATGGCAAATCGGTTTGGAGCCACAGTTCGATAAGGAATGCCCGAACTTTTGGCATTTTTTCTATTGGGGAATGTGTTTCAGGTTTAGGGTGTTTGAGTTTCTCTGGGGTTCGATCAGTACTGGATTATGGTAGGACATGGAGTTTAAGATGTGTTTTACGTTCTGGAAATCTGCTTGGGATTGTGGAAGAAGGACTCTTACCATATTGGAAACTTTTTGAAGTTTCCAAGGCGGTAAAAGTGGGTCTGTTCAGGGGAGTATCCCAAATTGTGTATTTCGCTATGAATGTCTGTGATTTCCATATGGGAATCGAGACCTTTGATGATGATAGACAGTTTTTGGGTAGTTTGAGGTTGAGTGTTTTGCGTTGTTGGTGCTGTTGTTGGTTGGTTTGTTTTGGCTTCTTCCGCCAGAAGGTGTTTTTCAAGAGCCTTGTTCGTTGTTTTGGGGAAGTTCCGTGGAGCTGAGGGTTTTAATGGACGGAAGTTCATGTCTACTTCCATGGTTTCTGTAATTTGGAGCTTGGATGATTTTTTTGGGGGTTTTGGGTGGTTCAGTTGTTTGTTAGGGGGATGGTTACGTTCGCTATAGCGTTTTCGAGAGCGGAAAGTTTTCAGAAAGTTTGGTTATGTTGTTGTTTAGTTTTTGGATTGTGGCGAGGACTTTCTTTAGTTGAGTTTACAGTGAGTCTCTTTCCTTACGAATTGAGTTGTAGGAATGTATTGGATATGAGAAAGGGGTTGATTTGTGGGAGCGATTGCCAGAGGCACTTACCGGATTTTCGTGTGGTCCGATTTCTCTTTCGATAATAATGGTTAATATTTTTCTAAGTTTGTTTTAAAACTTAGATAAATAATAATTTTATTTGGTTTTGATTCTATTCTATTTGTTGAGCTGATAATATTCTAAAAGCAGACAAAAGTCAAACTTAGGTCCGAATTCAAGATCGACACTCAAGCATCACTCACATTAAAATCAGACTCATCTTATCCTAACCATGGGGGCCTCACTCAAATATTCAAGGTCAGACCAAGATTTTGATTGCGGCCAGCGCCACCTACTACTGGTCACAACGCAACTCACTCATAAATGAACTGAACATCCCCGAGATGACGGTGACGGTGACGATGATGATGAATTAAAATCCGGCAGTTTCATCAAGTTGCAAGCGTTCCTGGAGTGATTGGGTGTATAAATGGCACCCACATTGAAATAGCAAGCCAAAGTGGATCAAATGCATGAACAATAAAGCTGGACCGAATTTAAGGATATTGTTATTCATTGGCCAGGTTCTGATCATGATAGAAGACTTTTGTATGGCAGTTCCATGGAGATAGTGCTTATGCCCAGAAGGTATATGTATATGTATAACGCATACATTTTAACAAGGAATGTTATTCAACGCGCTTTTGGTGTATGGGAAGGTCACGTTTAGAAAAGTGCTTGGAAGTATCATTACGACATACCACCAGAATTGTTGCTGCTACAGCGGTGGTTCTTAATATTGCCATTGATGCCAGCCAGAAGACCGATGAAAGTATAACTATGGGGGAAACTGAAAGGTTTCCGCAGTCCGAAGCGCCAAATATGGCAAACAACGCTGCTTTCATTCACGACAATTTAGCAGATCAACGGATTAAAATTGATTTTATATTGTATTAAACCCCCAATTTTTTCTAAAGTAGTTTATTTATCTCTAGTCTTTTTGCTTTCACTCCCTCCTGTTTTAGAATTCCTTTGGCAATGGATCCTGCCATTCTGAAATTGATTCTCAGAACTCGACATGAAACAGCGCTTAGCACTCATGTTGTTCTACATAATTAATAAACTTGTATTATAAACGTAATTTTTTCTTCAAACGCCCATATCAAAACAAGTGGTAATAAAAGCTGAACTGAGGTTACGGAACCGGAATGAAGTTATTCACTTATGGGAACATAACCTACTAAAACTGTTTTCTTTGAACCAGTTGTCACTCAAGTGAGTGACTCATTAGTGTCGTTTTTGAATACCTAAAGTTGGCTTTAGTTAGGGACCACTCATCTCACCCTAACGTGAGTGGCAGATGAGTGAGAGTTGGATTTGAGATGAGTAGCGCATGAGTGGCGTTCTTGAATTCGGGCCTTAATAATGCAATCAAAAATGAATCATTCACAAATAATGGCATGGTTTGTAAATCCTTTACTTTGATTTTGGTGAATCTACCAACAATTCTGCGGCCTCTCACAACAGATCAGGCTATACAGATTTTCAAGTTTCATCAAAATTGAGCAAAGATTGATCGTTATCACCGTGTGAACGAGCCTTTACTTATTTTTTTCATATTGGATCTGATGTAATATATAATTCTAATAACAGCATAATATTCGTAATATGCGTGTTATCCGTGTTAGTGTTTCCCATCAAACAAAGTTTTTATTTTCTTAAATTGTTTATGAAATAAGAAACATTATCCTTAGTCGACATAAATCCAGCATGAGAAGGGGGGGGGATCATGGGGGTCATGACCTGCTGGTTCTCCCCTTGTTTGACGTTATTTAAAATTTACTTTTGAGTGTGCTATACTTGGACAGATCAATTATTCTTATATAAGGGAAGGGAAGTATGGAAATGTTCTTTCACTTGTCAACAATCAAATTATTATTAGGAACTGTGGTAAAAACATACAGCATTCAATAAGTTTAAAAAATCATTTGATTAAATCTGTTAATCACCGTTAATTATAAACAACTTCTTATTTTCAAACTTCTTTCAGTATTTACTGTAGCTTTATTGTATTTCGGGGCTGAGCGATGCATTTTGATAATTGTGCTTCAGACAGATGGGTTTCCTTATGAGGTGCAAGAAAGCATCTGAAAATATTATAATTTAGAACATTTTCCAAGTAAATAACACTCAAATACTTGCTTGTAAAACGTGTTAATTGCCTGACAAAACATTTCTTTTGCTTCTTTTGTTTGTAAATTCTTCATCATATCAGAGGCAATTCGATACTGTTCAAGACACCGTTTAAGGTGCAATACTTTCTCGGGTACATCAATTACACTTCGACATTTCAAACAGTGAGTATTATTGGCTTTCGGCACAGGGAGAGTGAGTATTTGAGTACAGCCTGGTGTAGGACACCTAAAATGTGGAGTATTTTTTTATCCAAGAAGCTGCATAAGCTTTTGAGAATTTTTTTGATAACAGGTATTGAAAATACATTTGGCTACGGAACCACGTGAAGTTATAAAATTGTAAAGTTCCCTATAGATAATCAAAATAAGTAAATTGCCAAGTTGGTGTGCCAAAAGAGCATTTAGTGTTGCGTCGGCGTGAAGAACCGACTAACTCGGGAGCGTTTTAATTCTCTCTAAGTTTGTGATGGCAGCTCTGCACGATTTCAAAATACGGTTCCTGTTAATACACGCTATTAAAAATACTGAAAAAAATTAAAGCTGGCTCTAAGTCGCCCTATACAATCGCAATTTTTTCAAAATTATTGAAATATTTTTAAAAATGTTGATGATTTTGATTATCCAAATATTTTTAAAAAATTCAAAACTCCATACTTACTGCCCACGCTGCTGTATACCATACATTTCTAGAATAACTCACTGAACTTTTTGTTACCAAAAGACGAATTTACAAGAATACAAGGAACAACAAATAGAGAAATTTTTTGAGATCTTTTGAATCACCAAAGGATATAAATTCATAATGAAGCTGCAAAATTTACTTAAGCGACTAATGAAACGACACTCTGACTATGAACTTAACGAGCAAGATGATGAACTATGCCATTCACCTAATATGTTACTTGCGTCGTTACAGCTCATCTTTTGTAGCTTGAGAAGATCGTTTTCCTGAAGTAGTCAGCAATCCGTAGAAGGCCACCAGGTTATAGACGAAAAATCAGAAATACAATTTAATTCAGTGCTAATAGCAATATTGTGCACATCACATAATTGAAATAAATCTTTAATTTGCCTTGATATCGACGCAAAATTACAATCAATTCTTGTCGGGTGTGGCTGGGGTACTATTCAAGTTATTACATATTAATATTTGACCTTTCATTGGTGAAAAAGCATGAAATTAAAAATGTTATTAGAGAACCGAAACCGATCATGATTATGGGTTGCAACAGTTTACTGTTAACGATGTGGCAAAAGTGAATAAAATGCAGTCCTCCGTATCATGATAATGAACAAGGTAAACAAAACTTACATTAGTCGTTCACTGACATTTTCCAAACCTCGACCAATTGGAGGCCAATTTTGTTGGCAAGCCATGCACTGACAATCGAACCAATATCTAGATGATAAAGATCTCTTCCTTTCAGCTAGAGTTTGTCTCGTAAAAACGGGGCCATAGTTCTCCGGTATTATTTCGTTTGGATTTAGAGGTCTTACTGAAGTCAGAACAATAGATTTTCCTACAAAGTGCCTGAAATATAAAAGTGAAATTTGGACAAATATGCAATTGTGAGCTGGAATATTTGTGATTCTAGTTCTTAGTTCAATAAATGTATCAAATTTAACACCAAAAATTTATATTCGGGTAAAAGCGTAAAGAGTGCAAAAAAACTGTGCTTTTTTATAAACCTTAAAAGCGCTTCATTCACTAACTCAATTGCAACTCCAAACTCATTGCACGGAGCAACGGACATATTTTGTTCTTGTGTTTGTAAGCCTCTTGTACTATATTTTTCAACCTAAACGTTTGACCAAAAGAGCATAGTCGGCCGATTTAAAAGGCCAGCTTATTTTAATGATCTCACAGAAAAATTTTAATTACTGCCCTTTGCGATTAGTAAGAGGACACAAATGAAGCACACAATTTTCGACTTCCATATTGTGTGAGTGCTTAATCAATATTATTTCAAAATACGGAGTGAAACAAATTTGGAGTCATTTCTCTGGGGGGCTGTCTAGGGTTGTTTAAGGGGTAGGTATAGGAGAAATAGTAAAAAAATAATCAAGACTAACATATTTGCAATAAACTAGATGAGAAATAACTCTGCATATGAGGAAACTGGGTGGATTGTGTAGCCCAGTCGAAATACACACAGGAAAAATGAGGAGGGTTCACAGGTAAGGCCAGGGATCTGCCTGGAATAAAGAGGAACACAGTGCTCAAAGAACCAACAATTCAGCGTCGCATAGGACGGGAACAACGAATGACGACTCGGCGAGATAAAGGAATAAACAACTTTGGAAACCAAAAACATTAAGAATCGGATGATGGAACGAACCGTCTCTGAACAACAAAGATCAGGAGGTTTTGCTGGAGAGAAAAATACAAGGTCGTCGTTGACGTCGAAAAAAAAAGAGCGGAAAATATGTTTTGGTATCCATCGGCAAAGGCAAGCACGAAAGAGCAACGTTTGGCATAGGGATATTACTACATGAGATATTCGAAAATAACATGTGCGACATAAAATACGTCAACGGCAGGATACTACAAGTAACAGTCGATTTAAAGACAGCAAGCCCACGCATATAATAAGTGTCTATGCTCCCGACGCCTCCAAGCCAAGGGAAGAAATCAATATCTTCTATAAAGATCTGCCAGCAGTGCTCGACGGCAATAGACTACAACACAAAATAATAATTCTTGGAAATTTAAACACCATGATCGGCCACGAATGTATGCCAGGAGTAAAAAACTGATACAACGAAGAAGCAAAGGATGAAAGAGGGGAACAATTAATCAAAATATGCGCTCAAAATGAGCTACGAATAAACAATACCTTTTTCCCACACATACCATACCATAAATTTAAATTTACGAGCACGCGAGGACATAAATCCGTCACAAAGTAGCCTAGTCGGTAGAGCATGACGCCGGGTTCATGAAGGTCGCAGGTTCTAGTCTCGCCAAAAACAGTAAAGTTTTCCTGTTCCAAAAAATTATTTGTTCGCTTAAGGATTGTTCGATTCTCAGTTCGGCGATTTGGTGCCAGCAGAGGTTAGGATAGAGTCACATATAATGAGATAATAGGTTAGGATAGAGTCACAGTTTCGAGTATATACTCGAGCCTGGCTCTCAGAGAATGCATCTGAGCCTGCCGAATGCCGCCCAGATCAAATCGATGAGTCTGGTGATTTCTCCTGCCTGGTTCTCCTTTCCCAGTTTGATGTTGTGACTCAGATACATTGACTATATGATACTCATTGACTTTCTCGAGAGTAAGTAGTAGTCAAGGCTGGTAGGCTTCTCCGAGCTCACCCAGCATTATTTCTGGTTCCTCTGGGTATCTGCTAATAAGAACAATATTGTGGAAAAAGCGAAAATGAATGAGATTGTTTCCAACGCTCATAATTCCCTTCGTTCCCAAGAGAGATTCTTAAATACGTCTTCTAAAGCTAGAGTAAATAGGTTGGACAAGATTATATCGTTTTGACTGGTATTTTTCCTGTAACCCAACCCAAGCAATGTAGCGTTATTGTAGATGTACCGAATCAAGATTGAGTATCTGCAGTCGATACGGGAACGGCCCATTGCTTGAAGCACAACCCAAGTTTCAATTGAATTGAAAGCCTTCTGGTGGTCTACAAAGGCCAAATGGAGGGGACCAATGTACTCCATGCATTTCTCGTTTAATGTGCGCACTGCTTGGATATGGTCAATCCCGCTGAATCTCTTCCTGAAACCAGCCTGTTCGATGTACTGATAAAAGTCGACCTTCTGGGTAAGGCGACTAGTTATAATTTTGGAATGCAGTCTGTAAAGGGTGGCAAGCAACTGATAGGTTTATATAGTCCTCTAAATTCGCTCAGTCACCCATCGTGAGGAGCAGGATAACATCTGCACTCTGTCATGAGCCGGTAACTCTGCCTTTGTCGAGATATTTGTTTAGGAGTATCAGAAGTGCTTGTTCTAGCGCGCCAACACCGGTGTTCAGCATTTCGCTAGTCATCGTATCCTCGCCAGGCGTTTTGCCGTTCTTTAGTTGGCTCAATGCAGCTCTCTATTCGGCTTTGTCGATTTCCTGGAGTTCCCCGAATTGTACATTTGGGATGAGTTTCCTCGGCCCTTCCTGTTCTCCTTGAGGCTGAGCTGCCTTATGAGAGTACGTATTAGGGTAAAACTTTCCGATGACTTCCGTGATTTTCTGCCTATCTGTGACAACTTATTTTTGGTAGTTTTTCATTTAACAAATTATAATTTTTTCGTTCGACAGTCCGAAGTGCAAAACTCTCATATTATTATTGTTCTCAATGGCTTCCTTGATCAATTTTGTATTGTACGCTCTAAAGTATTTTTTAATGGCCTTATTGTCTCTCCTGTTCAAGTCCGCATATCTGGGCGGGCCGCTGCTTATCTCCCTTCGCTCCCGGATCAACAACGCAGTTGTTTTTTTTGCATTTGCTGACTTCTGCACACATTTTCCTCACTGCAGTTCGGATATTTGTTGTGATCTTCGTAGTCAACGCGTTAAGATCCGTTCACCATAGCTCCTCAGTTGGTTGTTGTTTCTTGTCAATTTAAGCGCTGTAGTCATCTTTCTTCCCTTTAAGTTCGGACATTGTGAGGAGCATTTTATCTGCCATTTGACGCTTCCTCTCTGGCCTCGTCTAAATGAGGATCCTTGGCCTTACCAGTCTGTGGTCGCTGCCAGTATCAAACCGATTCAGCTGACATTCAACTGATATGCCCGAACATAGTCGTCTGTCTGTGACTAGAACGTAGTCAATTTCTTTTTTTTCTTTATAATCTGGGTTTCTCCAAGTCCCCTTTCTATTTTATTGCTTTAAAAAAAGTATTCGAACAGTAGATATTCTCGTTCATGTGCTCTCTCGTTTCGATCACCCAAGCCAAATGTTCCGACGTATGGAACATCTGAAGCAGGTTCTGCTCCTATTTTCGCAATAAAATCCCTCATTATGATCGTGACCTCAGTCGTTTGTGCACTTCTTGATGTTGTTAAATCTTCATAAAATTGTTAATTTTCTTCATCTGTCGACGCAGAGGTAAGCACGTACCTTTGTATAATCTGGATGCTAAGTCTGCTATTAATCCTGAGAACTGCTCTTAATCCTGAGAAAATGACTCTGTTCGAGAAACTCAAACATTTTTATCGTTGCATGGCAACAGTAGCAAGTCCCGGTATCTAAATCCACCCTTCTGCCAAATTAAGTTCTACATCTGCATCGAAAGAACACTCAAAAAAGAACCATTGACGATTCCGGTCGCTTTATCACGGTGAGAGTACAATTTTGACCCCCTTTGTTACTCGACCATAGTTTCTCGCGTTCTAAGAATTATCGCTCCCGAGTTGTTTAAAGTAGCATAGCGAAGCGACCCGTGGCGTTACCCACGTTGACCTGTAGTTACGTTTCCCATAGAATTGTAACTCAAAAAATAAAAGAGTTGGAAGTTTAAATTTTGTCAAGCATTAACTCTCCAATCAACTAAGAAACCCACAGAATTTCAGCCTTGTAGCTGGGTGCGATTATGGTTAAATTTGAAGTTTTCATGGACAGGCAAACAGACATACATTCATTTTTATATATAAATTAAATAATTGTATTTGGCATTGTCAACCAAACTGGTCCTTCAACCCCTAAATACATTTTTTGATTGAGACAGTTTCGTGTTGTGTCAGTTCAAACGACTGTAAAGCCTCCAGTGCGCCTGTGTAGACAATTACTTAATACAGTCCACTAACGTTGCTGCGCTTGATTAGGCACATCCCCGTCTCCAAACAGACTCGATCTGAGCCCACCCGTGCCTTGGTAACAAGATGTTTTACGTTCTGTGGATAAGCAGGGCTACACGGCCGATATGAGCATTAACGTCGACATTTATCTGTAAGAGAACGTGACCTGATTTCAGGATGGATTCAGCTTCACCACGTCTCATAGTTTCACTAATTCCCAGCACGTCTCCACGTCATCTTCTGTAGTTCGTTCTCAAGGTTCGTCAGATCCAGGCTCATCGTGCGGATATTGTACATACAATAAAGAATGTTTCGCTGCCTTGTTTGAGTTTTCTGTTCTACGAGCTTTTGCCGCTCCCAAAATCCGTGAGGCTGACTGATTTAACAGTGGCTTTGGCTATTGGCTGTTGGAGCGCGGGAGTTATTTTATTTCACTTCTACCCTTCACGCATGCTTGATGGGCTTTCCGCAAATACGCCACCCAGGCTGTATGGTTATACCGGCAATATTCGGTCGCCAGAGCCTCGTTGGTTATCTATTTGTTATCATCTGGTGTACCGCGAACAGGTAAGGTTGACATGTAGATGGCATTGATGGTCCCATATTTTAGTCGCTACCCCTCACACCCCTTTGGATGGGATTGGATTGGTAGAAGAGGTAGAAATTTCATTGCCTATAAAGTCTCCAAATTTAATTTCGATTGATTTTTTAACCGAGTATACAGGGTGATTTAAAATTGGCGTCATTCCTCTGGAGGTGTTGTCTGGCGCTGTTATAGGAGTACAACAAAAATAGTAAAAGAAAATAATTGTTATTAAAAACTGAGAACTGAGAAATTTGCAAAAAATTATATTAGAAATGCGGCAGCAATGTTTTTAAGGTAATATGCCTAATTAACATTGCGAAAATACCTGTTGCTTCGTAATTATTAAAAACTCCGGTAACCATGGAATTATACAGAGTGACAATAAGATAGACAAGGATAAACGGTAAATTCAACAATATCCGTTGACTGCGCAACGTACTTTCGACATGTCAACCTGTTCTCATAACCTCGAATCTGCGGGGTTTGGTGTTTACATAAATAATCCATACAAGACCAAACATTTGAATGGTTAACTGCAAACAAGCTAGTGCCTGTGTAATCTCCTTTTTATCCACTCTTATCAAGCAGCTTCTCGTATTCAGTTAATTAACTCGAGCTCCATTTGTTATCTTCTTGTGCTGTCTGTATCGTACAAACGTGGTACGAATGTAGCCCTACCTCGGTATTTATTTGGTGTTCGGGAAAGTGTCAGTTATTGTGCTCTGAGTGTCTCTGGAAGGCCCTGTTTTGATTATGCCCAATACTGATTCCTCTGTGTCTGGAACCCGAACATCGATTGTCGTTCACTATCTTCCTGGAACCACTCTCCTTGCTCTTTGTTGGCGTGAGTTCTTTCAGCTTCTGCTATGTTACTGTAGCATTTCCCCTGAACTAAGCGAATATCCGCAATTTCGTGAAAGGAAATTCAAAGTAAGTGACAGTTTGACAAATTATTGTGTTTACTGACATGGGCTATCCAGCTTTAACTATCTGTTAATGATAGAAAACACCATTGTCGCTGTGATTTTTCATCAAAAAATTGTCAATGTCAATTTTCATCAAAAGAGAACTTTTTTGATATCAAAATTTTCGTAATTTGAAGCAATCATCGTAATTTTTCTTTTTGAATGCTTAAGTATTCCAATATGCTACCAGTTACACATGGAACAATTTCTAAATAACGCTTAATAACAAAGTTGAAATTTGATCTTCAACTGATACCATCTTATCTTATGTGAACATCTAATATAGAAAATAAATTTTCTATATTTTTGTCGTACTCCCCAAATGAGCCTATATCGCCCCTTAAAAGGAATGACGCCAATTTTGAATCACCCTGTATATAAGACGGAAGTGTACTCCACGCGGCAAGCAATTTTTGATGTTTTCACCGTACGCATTGTTACTGAATGCCGTCGAATATCATTCAAAATACTCCTGAAGGAACCTATTTTACTGTCTAATTTAAAGTAATTGATTCTTTCTCAAAATAGCACATTTTTGCAGCTTCATAAATACCCCTTGGAAATTTTTAATTAGATGTACCAGTCGGCTTTCTTTCCTATTTCAAATTTCAAGGGCAACCCTTTGCCATCGGGTTGAACACAATAATCGCAGTGTCAACTTCTTCTAATTGCGCCATCTCCCTCCGAAGGTTGGCGGACCAACTGGCAATAATTACTCGTGACACAGCTGCTTCTGCTTGTTGCTGTTCTACTCATCCATCGGCGTAGGTCATTAAGCCAGGAAGGAATTTTGCCTCCTCCCTATTGATCTTATTTCCTGAATCTTTTCCTCGAACTATTTCATATCCATCACCTCTCATCTGTCCAATATATCTTAGTTTGCACTCTTTGATTGTTATCATCAGCTCTTTATTTTTCTGCATTCTATTGAGAACTTCAGTGTTTCTTACTCTCTCGATCGGTATGCGTAATATTCTCTTATATAGACACATTTCGAAAGCTTCAATGCGTTTTTATAGCGAGGGATTGAGGGTCCCGCTTTCGCAGCCGTTCAGGAGGATAGACAACACGTAATAGCGTAGCATTCAGATTCCCATCAACAGGCCCAGCTCTTGGTCCCGCTTAATAAAAAAGTTTTTCATGTCGATAAACGTCCTCCTGCAACATTCCAGCAATCCGACAATGGTTAAACGAGAGATTCCCGAATACACGTATTGGCAGAAGGGGACCAATTGAATGGCCTCCAAGATCACCTGATTTAACACCGTTAGACTTCTTTCTTTGGGGATATCTAAAGTGTATTGTTTATAAGACACAAGCTGCTGATATTTATGATCTTAAAAGGTGAATTCCAGCAGAATACCGGTCAATTCCCGATGAAGTTTTCCGAAATGTTAAGGAGGAGTTTGAAGACAGACTTTATTATTGTTTACGGGAAAATGGACAACATTTTGAACAACTGACAAGAAAGTGCGTAAATAGATTCTATGTATTTTACTGTAGAAATTTCTCTTCCGCAAATTAAAAGTTAATTTACTAAGTTGGCGTTGCCGGGAATAGTTGCCTTACTTTGGTAATTAAAAACAGCTCTGTTATGTTTTCGTTCGCGCACCCTGTATATTCGGGGCTGTTCAAGACAGACGGGAATGGTGTCGCTACGCAAGAAGAAGGAATCTGGCTTTATTGCTTTCGCATAGAAGTAATGTATCAGTCTCACAGCGCTTCTTATAGCCTTCTCCCCAGCAAACACACCTCGGTCCCTGAGAAAAACACAAAAAAAACGGCTGTTTTGGATGATATATACCTTAATAAGTGTGAAATAAAGTGTATAACTTTTTTTTCGGGCGTGCCATTTACTATTACTACATATACGTCCTTTTCATTACGTCCATGGGAGCAAAAAATAGAACGTTTCTGGGACGACTCTTATGGGATCTGCATGAGATATTTGTGCGATGCGAGAGACAGCCTAGGGACATCCTACCAAGGACCATCCCATGCGGGATAACGGGAATCAAAATACAACGTCCCACGGACTATTTGTGTTTGCTAGGTCCTAAATTGCAGCAATACAACTTACCTAGACAGAGCAGGATGGCAGTCATGATTGAACAACGAGGCAGTCAGGTAAATAGCTACTCCTATGAAAACTACTCTCGAAGTTATTGGTTTACAATTGTCAGTATACCTTGTTTCATATACTTCATGAGCATTAAACTGTAGTACTTGCAAGTTAAACAACAGCATTTCGCCTATTTCATATTCAGCTCTGGATGGTGATACTGGAAACAGTCAAACTTTTTAAAAATACATTAAGGGATGACTACATTTTACCTTGATTATCACCTCCGGTCTGAAAGAAGTTAGCTTTTTGTAAACATCTTAGCAAAAATGATGCCATTAAAGTCCTTTGGAAAAAGTCTTCGGGAGATCTCAAATGAGAATTTGTACATAACCTGTATATCTATAAGTATAAATTAAATAAGTTTAAAACTGAGATTCTGGAAAGCACATTTTTCTAAAACCATCAATGACACTGAACTCCACTGATGCATCTAGGCTTTCTACTAGATATTATTATAAGAGGAACCATCTTCATTAAAATTTATTGTTTAGCCTTTGACGGTTCAAAAATTAGTCCAAATATTCTTTTTATTATTATAATGATATACAAGGCAGTGCAAGCCACACGGGGTGAAATATTACCTGGAGAGTTTATGTTTGAAATGTCTTTTTTATGCAAAATTGGTATCGATAGGGGTAATTCCTTAAGATTATTTTTGTTAAACAGGATGTTCCCAAATGTGGCATACAAAACTTATATTTTTTTAATGGAAGACCCTGATCAACTTGACGCAATTGGTTCTCTTTCAAATAAGTTCCATATAACGTTTATTTTTGGTTTGCGTTAATCGATTATCCTTAAACTTAAACATACATTTAATGTTGAAAACTGGGTCACAAGTGGAGCAATACTAAAACTGTAAAAAAACTTAAAAAATCACGCCTGCCCTCTAATATCATTTTCTTCATCATTCTAACAAGGTATCAATATACGGGGAATTTAATTTTTTCATAAAGTAAAATAAATAACAACTTTTTTAATTGGAACGACCTCTATATTATTAAGCTGGCAGAAATTATCTAATGCATCATTATTCTCCGTATACTGCGCAATCTATTGACAGTAAGTAGGTGCTGTCTTTGTCGGTGTGTCTTTCTCTTGCTACAATAAAATCAGTATTTTACTAATTTTTACAAGCGAACTATCTAGCGTTTTACTTTAATCTTAGTCTACCTAATTTTAACAGGTTATGGGCCCAGAGCGTTTGGTACAAAGTAATAGTATGATGTAGTTCCGTTGTTAACGTAAAGAATAGACTCCTTTTCGACCGAACAAAAGACTAAAGAAACCGTTTCAATTTTTCGGCGTTTAAAGTCGCTTGTCGCGTGTAGATATTTTTTTCTTAACCGTCCGCACCAGTCCTGGCTGTTTGCGCTTGCGCGTCTCTCTGCCGCGTTGGGGGTTTGTTATTTCCATTGCGAACGAAATTATAACGTCAGAAAAACACGGATTCTTGTGGATTCCATCTTTATTTATGATCGATTCTAGCACGTTTTTAGTTCAGTGGCTGTTGTTGAAATTCATGCTAATTTTGTCGTTAGTGATTTTTACAATTAGTTCCCCCAGTAAAGATTTGGATTCTTGGAGTTTTAATAGTCATGGATCTTGTTTGCTTTTGATTGTTTTCTGATTTCTAAAATAATGGACAGATATGTTTAAATGTTGCCTATAACCTCCACTTTAATTATATACATGCCTGTGAAAAATCAGAAAAATAAGTAGCATAAAATGTTTTTCTCCTATAAGGTTGCTTCTTAAACACTAACAAACATTAACCAGGAACTATAACCAAAAAAAGTAAAAAAAAGTACGACTGTGGCGCTCGTTGAGCAACATGCGTTTTGTCCCGGGCATACCCATTGGACTCGTCGGTAAGGCTTAATTAGGCCCTATCTTAAACGCCGGATACAGTATTTAGTATTGGAAGTTGTATTTGAACCCAAACGGCGCAGATGTTATTGGGTGAGATATAGCTGGCATTTCGGTTAGCTGCTACTTCAGAAGTAGCGGATATAACGACTTTCTCTGAGGTTAGGCGTCGCTATTCGAGCAAGGCCCGGCGGTTAAAAACCAAGTATGTGCATAGCGGCAACATGGCAGTGAGACGCGCAAGCGCAATTAGCCAGGACTGATGCGGATGGTTAAGAGAAAAATATCTGCTTGTCGCGTAGTGCCAGCAAGTCAAGGCCCAGCTGCTCTCACGTCACGAGTAGGACGAGTGGGTACGATACCACAGAACTTGAGTAGGCCGGCTCTCCCTCACTCTCATAGCAAAATGGTCCTTGTGGCGTCGACTTGGACCTTCGGTGGTGCCAGTAGTGCTCGTATCGCGTGGACAGTGCCAATATGGCATCCAGATGTATCAGCAGCATTCCTCAATTTCAAGGCTGTAAAAAATATAACGAACGGTCGTTCGCCATGGCAAATTTCCTCGTACTAGAAGGTTTAAATAAAGGCATCGAAGAAAGTTTGCCCAGTGGTACCAACGCCATGAGTTCAGCATCTACGTTCTTGACTGACGTCAACGACAAACGTCGACAACGACTGACGTCAAACAACTCAGACTCCTACTAAACGCCCATGGCGAACAGGAATACCGTCCGCTTTGCGGCTGTGTGCATTTCGCTCCAAAACGCCAACGGAAATTAAGTTCAACGACTTGGCCAAGGAGATGCGATCCTTGTTCTCCGACACGCGCACTCTCTCTCAACGCCGTTTGGAGACTGACTTTGACAAGTTGAAACTCCTCCTAGCGGTTCTTGAGATGAGCGACCCTACTACCACCCGTACCGTGCAATCATCTTGAAGGAGAGCGATCAACGAAATCGTCAATCGTCCGGAAAGAAAGCAAACATGGCAAAGAGAAAAACGATGCAATCGCTGTAGATGCGGCACGGAAGTCAGCAGGGGATGTCCTTTCATCAACAGCGAATGTTACAACTGCGGAAAAGTTGGACACTTAGCTCAAGTCTGCAGACCGAAGAGAGACTTGGGCACCAAACGGAAATACAAATCCTTTGACGTCAACTAAACGGCTACCGGGTGAAGATGAAATGCAGACACAGGGGTGGACATGCCGGTGTCTCAGCGAGAACACGTACAAGCAGATCGGCTCCCCGGCTCTTAACAGGTACAAATGCAATAACAAAAATAAGTTTGATGACGTAAGATCTGCTGATATGGCAGGCCCAGCTCTACCAATCCGTCGGTCTTTAAAGTTACTATTCAGACTTCACGACGTTTTAAAGTAAGAGGTGGGTGAATACAATATGCGAATGTTTGCTGTCTCACGAGCCGTGATTTATTTGTTTTATAAAAGACTGCAGCACAATCGTAGAGTTGTTAACACCTACTGCCATTAAGAGCTTAGATAAAAACATAATCAAAACTTATTTTACTTCATGTATAGCAATATGCCCACCATGCCGAATTGGTAATATGCCCATGGGCATATTGAAAGATCTTGGCAAGCAATTTACTTATTATTGTCAATTATTAAATTTATGATCTAGAAATCGAGAAATCAGGACATTCGGTTTACGTCAAACAGAGAAGACTTACAAAATGCAGTCGCAGCTGTACAGGAGGGTCGAATGTCTCGGCAAGGGGCTTCAAAAGCATTTTCGATTCCGAGAAGAACTAACCAGATATCTTAATAGAAACGAAAGCAGAAAGGCACCAATGGGGCGCGAAGCCAGTTCCCACTGCTAATCAAGAAAGAGAACTGTGTGCAAAATTAATTCGGCAGGCAGAAGTTGGTTGGTTACCCGCTGTCAACCACCCTTCCAAGGTGTATTTTCAATTTCTGAATAAAATTGCATTCAAAATACATTTTCGAATGACTAGCAGATATGGGTTTAATGGATTTTTGAAATGCAATCCATAAAACCAAAAAAATCACAAAGTATGAACACGGCTCGTGTCCAAAAACTACAAACCAAAAAACAGATTGTGTAAATGACCATTTTGCAAAATTGAAGGAAATGCTTTTGAAATTGCACACTAGCACCAGGATCACTGGTCCTGATGACCCCTCAAGGTAGCATAAATATTACGACATTTTGCACCTGGATTGGGGATTTGGCTAAATTTAAACCAGTAAGGCCTTTTGATTGGTGCCTAATGCAATGTGGTTTGTTTACCCAGCAACACTATACATGAATTAAAACCAATGGATAAATCGGTATTAAGTTCTTTTGAATACAACTGGGATGATCAGGTGCTCCAGTATTGGACTTGACACAAACGTTGTGTTCGAGAAACTCAAATATTTTTATTGTCGCATCGCAACAGCTCGTCGGCAACCTTGAGGCTGTCCAGCCCTAAGAATCCTCCTTTCTCCCAAAGTCAGTTTTCAGCTTTTATCAAAAGTGCACTCAAAAAGAAACCATCGACGGTTCCGGGCACTTTAACACGCTGACAGTCAAATTTTGATCCCCTTCGCTTTACTCGAACACAGTTGCTCGAGTTTGTCAGAATTCTCGCTCCCGGATTCCCTGTGGTATCATTAAATAAGTGTGTTTGGCAGCGTCAACCAAACTAGTTCTTGAAATCCAAAATAAATTGGTTGATTGTAAAAAAATCGTGTTGTGTTAATTCAAACGACTGTAACGCCTCCAGTGCCCTATGGAGATAATTATTTAAAACAGTCTGCTACAGTTGCCCCGTGCCCTAATAGATCGAAACATTGCCAAGCTGCGATTTGGTAAAATTTTTAGAATTGCGTGGGATAAAAGCGTAACACCGGCAAATGTAAATGTAAAGCAAATGTAAAAAATATATTTGAACCATTTTTTATTCGAAACACTGCTTTCCGAAATATTTTAGCGTTTCAAGATATGAGAAAAACCACCTGGTTTATCTATACATATTCAGAAGCGAATCTTAGGTGTTCTGAGCTTAGTTCCCATGATGACCTGCAAACAACACTTTTGATCCTAGGCTCGCTCCAGACTCGCGCGTGGACGGCGCCCTAAATTGACGCTCTTACTTTCCCACATATATTGTGACGAACGTAGGTGATATCTCTAATCGTAATTTTGGCGTAACCTTCAACTTACTTAAATTGGGTGCACATACATACATAAATACGAGACGCTCTATTGAATGAAAACTATTTTTGTTTTTTAGATTTCAAGTTTTAATGCAAATACTTTGCCGCGAAGATGTTTCTTCATTATTTACGCACTTCTGCACAGCCATTAGCAAGTGTGGAGCGGGTTTTACAATGTATCTATTGTTAATTCGACTGTTCACATATTGAGTAATAAAAGCCTACCTTTTCTTTGCTTTTATTTCTGTATATTTCTAAGCATCTTTGCAACCCAAACTGAGTAATCATCCTCAGAGATGTGTGAGCTAAAACACTCATCCCGGAACCAATTAGCAAATCTAAATATTTGCATTCGTGTTTGTGGTAAGTAGCAATTGCTTGGTCTTTACAGTCTAGACTACAAAAAGCTACACTGGCACAGTCTGGACACCCGAAAGGAGACTTTAAGCTGAAAATTCACTCTGCTTTAGTACCAGCTTTTAACAAATAGAAATAGTTAAAATGATCTCATTATGGGCATGTTCAAACATATTAGAATAATTTTCCAAAATTGAATTGAATCAAATTGAAACTTTCATCCTTAACGCAATTAAAAGAGTTGGCTTAATACTGGAGAAAATTTTATAAAAGATGGGATAATTTAGATTCAAGGAATTGGAATATTTTTTGGATTCAATAAAGGGTACAAGCACTCCGAACTGGAAGATGCCTGATAAGATCAGACAGTACAAGTTTTTTGCTCTATTTTTCGTCTGTGATCATAGCAATGTGCCCCGCCCGTCGCCACTTTTCTATCAGGGTTAGTCGTATAACATAATCTACGCATGTACGTGAATTGCAATATTTAATCTAATTAAAGGTCTTATAAATTGATTTGGTTGTTTTTGCTTGTCCGTATCCCGTGGAGTAAGTTTCCATATTTGTCATTAATTATATTTTCTTCTTCTCGATCTGTATGGGTTCACCAGAAACTATACAGGGCGATTCAAAATTGGCGTCGTTCCTTTCAAGTATTATCCTTCTTCGCGTGCCATGTCCTCCTAAGACGTCGGCGATCATCATTATGATCATCGCAGCGCCATTTCTGTGATGCGCCTCATTAATTCCTGCGTATTATACAGGGTGATTCAAATAGTGATAGAGGCTCCCTTGGGAAGTACGAGAAAAATATTGAAAATTTTTTTTTCCTAAAAAATTACGATCTTTGCTTCAAATTGTAAAAATTTTTAATATCAAAAAGGTTCTCCTCTACAATTTTTTGATGAAAAGGCGCAGCGGCAATGATACAGGTGGATACTGTGGATAGCCCTTGTCAATCATAACAATAATTTGTCAAACTGTGACTTACTTTGAATTTCCTTTCACGAATTTGCGGATATGCGATTAGTTCAGGGGAAATATTACAAACTACATAGCACAAGCTGAAAGAACTCACGCCAACAGAGGGCGAGGAGAGTGGTTCCAGGTAGATAGTGGACGACAATAGATGTTCGGGTTCCAGGCACCGAGGAACAAGTATTGGACATAATCCAATCAGGGCCTTCCAAGGGCACTCACAGCCCAATAACTGACACTTTCCGAAGCACCAAATAAATACCGAGTAGGCTACCTTCCTATCACGTTTGTACGATACACACAGCACAAGGAGATACAAATGGAGCAGGAGTTAATTAACTGAATACGAGAAGCTGCTTGATAAGAGTGGATAATAAG